CTGCTTGGCCTGCTGTGTTCATCCAGCCCTGCACCTTGTTGTCTCGGGAATTAGCACAGCTTTGTCAATGGGAGGTCATGCCTGACAAATTTGTCAGAATTCTTTCAGGAAGTAATGATTTTTTGTTTAGATTTAGATTTTATTACCAAGTTAGACAAAGGAGAGCCAGTAGGTGTGATTATGCAGATTTCCAGGAAGTCTTTGACTAAGTGCTGCACAGGATACTGCAAAATAATACTGGCATGGATAGAGGATTGGTTGATGGCAGAAGGAAGAGAGTAGGGCTAAAGGGATCTCTCAAGCTGGCAACCGGTAACTAGTGGACTTCTGCAGGGGTCCATGTTGGGACCACAACTATTTGCTTTATATATTAACAATTTGGACGGAGGAACTGAGGGCATTGTTGCAGAGTTGGCAGATGACACAAATAGATGGAGGGACGGGTAGTGTTGAGGAAGTGGGGAGGCTACAGAAGGACATGGACGAGCTAGGCGAGTGGGCAAAGAAGTGGCAGATGGAATGCAATATGGCAAAACGTGAGATTATACATTTTGGGAGGAAGAATAGAGGCATAGACTGTTTTCTAAATGGGGAAAGACTTCGGAAATCCGAAGCACAAAGGGACTTAGAGAATCCTGAACTAGGACTCCTTAAGGTAAACGTGTAGGTTCAGTTGGCAGTTAGGAAGGCAAATACAATGTTAGCATTCATTTCAAGAGGGCTAGAGTATAGGAGCATTGACATACTACTGAGGCTGTATAAGACTCTGTTCAGGCCATATTTGAATATTATTCTGGGCTCTGTATCGAAAGAAAGATGGGCTGGCCTTAGAGAGGATCCGGAGGAGGTTTACAAGAATGGTCTTGGGGATGAAGGGCTTGTCGTGTGAGGAGTGGTTGAGAACTCTGGGTCTGTACTCAATGAAGTTTAGAGGAAGTGGGGGGGGGAGATCTGACAGAACTTACAGAAAGTGACCTGGATAGAGTGGACATGGAGAAGATGTTTTCATTAGTAGGAGAGGCTAGGACTCAGGGCAGAGCCTCAGGGTGAAGGGATGACCCTTTAGAACTGAGATGAGGAGGAATTTCTTCAGCCAGCAGATGGTTAGTCTGTGGAGCTCATTGTCACAGAGGACTGTAGAGGCCAAGTCATTGAGTGTATTTAAGACAAACAGGTTCTTGATTAATAAGAGGATCAAGGTTAGAGGGAGAAAGCAGGAGAATGCGATTGAGAAATGTATCAGTCATGATCAAATGGCGGAGCAAACTTGATGGGCTGAATGGCCTAGATCTGCTCCCATATCTTATGGTCTTATGCTATATTCTTTCAGACTCAGCAGCACAGGGAGCAACCTCTTAGGATCCACCCAGTCAAACACTGGGAGAATGTTGCACCTTCAACTCCCTCGTTCTGTTCAAGTCCATTCTGCATCACCTCGACCTATAGGGCAGTCCTGGGAAGGTGTGATCGGTCCAGACTCTGTCCCTTCCTGTGTCTGCATCCCTCTCCTCCCTCCCCATGTCTGGCTCACTCCCCTTCCTCCCTTTCTGTGTCTGGCTTACTCCCTCCATTCCGCGTCCTGTGCCTCTCTGTCTTTCTGTGTCTCACTCGCTCCCTCCATCCCTCGCTGTCTCATTGTGTTTTCTCCTGTACTGTCTCTGTGAGCTGTATGTGGAATGAGTGTGTCTGACCGGTGTTATGTCTGCAATGATGTGAGCCAAGGGAGGCAGTAATGAGAACATCCCCTGGATTTTTGGGTGATCTGTTATGACTGTAAGCCCCTTTGTTGGTTTGATTTAATGCTTGTAAGGTTGAATGCTGGCCCAGTTTGGAATCCTGAATCCGGTAGTTAGCGGGCATGTCGACTGATTCCCTGGCCCTGCTCCATCTGCTCATTTGATTCTTCTCATTGCAATGTGCTGCTTTTCTTTCTGTTTCTGTTTCCACATTTTACAAGAAGAATACTTAAAAGTTGAAACAAACAGTAGAGATGAGGAGTCAGGTGGGTAAGACTGCTTTGTGATCGATTGTCCTAATTTCTGAAGAGTTGGTGTTTTCCAAGTTGCTGAGGGTGTGTATTGATCACTGTATTGAATGTACCAGTTTCTGCTGCTGTTGTGTTCGGGAGGTACTGATGCTCATGGTCTGGGGTTGTTTCTGACCACCATATGTTATATTGTTGGGGTGGCTTAAGCATGGGATTTGGTTGCTGTGTTTTTGATTGCAGTGTTAGCCCCTACTGATGGTGTCTGTTGAAGGTTCCTACGATTGTCCTGCCTCTTGCGCTCTGCACTCACTCACTCGGGCACATAGCCTTTGCAGTTTGCTCCTGGTCGCATTTCTGCTTGTCCTCTGGAACAGCAGTGAGCAGCACCACGGTAAATTTGGGAGGAAATTGGCACTGAGCTTATTTACAGCAGAGATGTAGAGGAGGAGCAGGGCTGACAGAGCATCAGCTCAGAGGGTCTGCCAAAGAAAGCACGTCTGAGTGCATTCACACTGCTTTGCATCCAATACTTTGTGAATTCGAGCTGTAATAAAACAAGACAGTCGGTAACATTGTATTTAAGGAGCGCAACTCCGATGGTGCGGCACTTCCCTTGGTGCTGACGCTCCGAAGGTGCGTCAATAAATATGGTCCATGCAGCAGACACCAGCAACCAAGGGGTATGTGTGTACACTGGGGACTGTGTGGGGAGGCTTTGTATGGCTGTCTGTTTGGGGGTCCCTATTGCCTGTAACGTACAGGGAGCTTCAGGGCTCAACATCTGACTGGATATGGACGTGACCTGCCACCATGCTGAGGCAGTGCTGGTGGACAGTCTCTGGTCACTGAAGAATCACTTCACTGGATGTTAATATGAAGCTTCTTCTCCCAGGCCCCACACACTGGGGCAGGCCTGCTGCAAGCACATTGACACTTATGCAAGATGTTGTACGTGTTCAGTTTTAGTGCACACACCAGTCTGGAAAATTGTTTGAAGTATACTCTGACATGCACCATGAGTCAAGGAATGCACACAGCTATGTAAGGTGGGGGTTAAGATATATGTACAGTGTTCCAAGTGTGCAACATTGGTAAAGACAAAATGGGGAGGTGCTCCCGTGGATGTGGCGTGGTCGATATGATGTAGGTGCAGATTTAGGCCATTCAGCCCATTGGACTGTTCTGGCAGTCACTGAGTATGCGGCCAGTTTTTTTATTCACTTGTTGATGTGGGCGTCACTGGCTGACAATTTGGGAGGAAACTGGCACTGAGCTTGTTTGCAGCAGAGATGTAGAGGAGGAGCAGGGCTGACAGAGCACCAGCTCAGAGGGTCTGCCAAAGAAAGCACATCTGAGTGCATTCACACTGCTTTGCATCCAATACTTCGTGAAGTCAAGCCATTCACTGAGTATGCGGCCAGTTTTTTTATTCACTTGTTGATGTGGGCATCACTGGCTGACCATTTACAGCCCATCCCTAGTTGCCCCTATTTGGTGGTGAGCTGCTTTCTTGAACTACTGCAGTCCACATACTGTAGTTAGACCCACAATGCCATTAGCAAGGGAATTTCACGATTCTGACCCAGCAACACTGGAGAAACAATGATAAATTTCCAAGTTGAGATGGTAAGTGGCTCAGTGGACAACTTGCAAGGGTGGAGTTCCCGTGTATCTTCTCCCCTTGTCCTTCAAGATGGAAGTGGTCATGGGTTTGGAAGGTACTGTGAATGTCTGCGGTGCATCTTGTAGATAGTACATACTGCTGCCACTGAGCGTCGGTAGTGGAGGGAGTGGATGCTTGTGGATGTGATGCCAATCAAATGGGCTGCTTTGACACGATGGTGTCAAGCTTCTTCAATGCTATTGGGGTTGTACTCATCCAAGTAAGTGGGGAGTATTCCGTCACCCTCATGACTTGTGCCTTGTAGAGGGTGGACAGGTTTTGGGTAGTCAGGAGGTAAGTTACTTGCTGCAACATTCCTAACCTCTGGCCTGCTCTGGTAGTCACTGTGTTTATATGACTAGTCCAGTTGAGTTTCTGGTCAACGGCGACTCCCAGGATGTTGATATTAGGGGATTCAGTAATGGCAACACTATTGAATGTCATGGAAAGATGGTCATTGCCTGCCATGTGTGTGGCACGAATGTCACTTGCAACTTGTCAGCTCAAGCCTGGATATTATCCAGATCTTGTTCCATTGAGCATGGACTATTTCAGTGTCTGAGGAGTCACGAATGGTGCTGAACATTGTGCAATCATCGGCAAACATCCCCACTTCTGACCTTATGATGGAGGGTATGTCATTGGTGAAGCATATGAAGATGATTGGGCCCAGGACACTACCCTGAGGAACTCCTGCAGAGATATCCTGGAACTGAGATGATTGACCTCCAACAGGAACAGCCATCTTCCTATGTGCCAGGTATGACTCCATCCAGCGAGAGGTTTTTCCCCGATAGCAGTTTTGCCAGGGCTCCTTGATGCCAAACTCAGTAGAATGCAGCTTTGATGTAAAGGGCTGTCACTCTCCCCTCACCTCTGAAATTCAGCTCTTTTGTCCATGTTTGGACCAAGGCTGTAATGAGGTCAGGAGCTGAGTTGCCCTGGCGGAACCCAAACTGGGCATCACTGAGCAAGTTATTGTAGAGCAGGTGCTGCTTGATAGCACTGTTGATGATAACTTCCATCATTTTACTGATGATTGAGAGAAAACTGATGGAATGTTAATTGGCTGAGTTGGATTTATCCAGCTTTTTGTGCACAGGATGTACCTGGACAATTTTCCACATTGTCAGGTAGACGCCAGTGTTGTAACGGTACTGGAAAGCTTGACTAGGGGTGAAGTAAGTTCCAGAGCACACAGTACTACTGCCCGAATGTTGTCAGACCCCATAGCCTTTGCCGTATCCGCTGCCTGCAGTCATTGTACAGTTGTTGATGTGTGAGAGTGTGTGCACTCAGCGTACGGGAGTCGATGTTTGCGTGTGCGCTCAGCGTACGGGAGTCGATGTTTGCGTGTGCGCTCGGTGTACGGGAGTCGATGTTTGCGTGTGCGCTCAGCGTACGGGAGTCGATGTTTGCGTGAGCAGCCAGTGTGTGGCCAATGGACTGGAATCTATTTGCGTGCGCCTGTGTGCGTGGTACAGGAGTCAATATTTGTGTGTACATGCATAGATTCACTGTATATGTGTCAGTTTTACTGTATATGTGCATGTGCGGTCAGCGTAGGAGTCTGTTTGTGTATGTGCCTGTCGATGTTTCTATGCATGTGTGCTATCAGTGTACAGGAGTTGATGTGTATGTGTGCAAAGATTCAATGTACACGTGTCTATGTTGGTGTGTATGTAAATGCACAGTCAGTGTACAGGATATGTTTGTGTGCACGCATGGGGTCAATGTACGGATGAGTGCGCACACACAGTCAGTGTACAGAAGCTGATGAGCACGGTCAGTGTACAAGAACCATTCTGCGCATGCAGCCAGTTTACTAGAGCTGAGTATGTGCATAGTCAATGTACAGGAGCTGGTGTACATGCACAGTCAGTGTACAGGAGCTGTTCTGCGTGTGCAGTCAGGCTACAGCAGCTAGTGTACATGCAGGGTCAGTGTACAGGAGCAGATGCGTCATGCTTTGGGGGTCAGTATGTAGGAGGCAGCGTGTGCATATGTGCGGGTGTGCAGGGTCTCAGTGTACAGGAGCCTATGTGCACAGGGTCAGTTTACACGTTGAAACATGTCACATTTGCTGATTTTGTTTTCTCGGCTACTCTATCCCCTCCAGCCCCCCTCTCCCTCCCATTCTCCTCCATCCCCTGAATCAAATACCTCATGGATTTCTGGCTGGGAGCATGTTAGCGAAAAGCAGTGACTTTGTTATGTTATATATGTGTGTGTGTGTGTCTGTGTGCTTCAGTCACTCTGCTAATTACTGTGTTGTGGTTTGTGTTTCTGGTGTGTGACCTGATGACCAGTATTCCAGTGGGCTGCCTGGCAGCATGTGATGGTGCCTGGGTCGAGAGATTGCTGGTGACCCACATCCTGGTTACTCTATGGGGGGTGTTGGGTGGGTTCATTCTCTACTCCACCTTATTCTCAGCACTCCGTTCTGGTGTTGTTTGAAAGCAGCAGTTTCTCCCTGCTTATGTACCAATCCTTGCTGGTTGTACCCTCTCCCTGCATGTTTACACCTTGGGTTTCCCCACAGCACTGAGCCAGCTTGCCATGCGGTATCTCCCAGTCAGCCTGGTGCTGCAGAATGGGGCACTGTCTGAGTGCTGTCCTCCCCACTGACCCCTGGAAAACTGTCAAATTGAATTGCCTGTTTTTGGATGAATTTCTTTCTGCATTGTTCCGCTGATTACGCACTAATTGTGATTTTGTATGTCCCAGTATTTGGGCTAAATACTATATTGGAGATAATAACGGAAGCTGGAGTGGGGAGTGAAGGTGGGTCTTCTGCATGGGCTGCCAGCTCCTTCCTTCGAATGCTGTGCCTCCTTCATTGGGCTGTTTGTTGTTTCTCTCACCCTCTTTCTCCACCCTCCTCCCCTATCATTGGGTAACTGATCACATTGCTCCGTCTTCCTACCTCCATCCCCCCTCCCCCCCCCCCCCCCCCCCCCCAGCCGCCTCACCCACCCTCCCCACTCACTCACTTGGCCGTCTGCCTCGTGTTTGCTGCTCGTTTACTGCTCCTCTGGTTCTGCATGTGACCAGGATCCAAACCACCTCCCTAATGCCCAGTCCCCAGGACCTTCCTCATTTCCCACCCTAACCCCCAGGATACTCCTCATTTCACCCCCCCCCCCCCCCCCCCCCATTTCCCCTCCTGCCCCCCCACCCGGACCCTCTTCATTCCCCCAGACCCCTCCAGGACCCCGTTCATTTTCCCTCCACTCCCAGGACCCCTTTCATACCCCAAACCCCCTTACCTGCTGGCCCCCAAACCCCTCAGTTTCCATTGCCCTTTGGACTGGCATTCCCCACTTTTCATACAATCATAGAGTGCACAAGAGGCACTTCCTGCCATGCACTCCAAAGATACCATCAAAGATATACTAAATCCACACTGGTCCCACTGTCCCACACTAGGCCCACTGTCTTGAATGGTATAACACTTCAAGTGATCATCTAAGTACTTTGTAAAGATTGTAAGGTTTCCTGCCTTAATTACCCTCCCAGACTATTCTTACCCTTACCGCCCTATGGGTGAAAAGGCTTTTCCTCAAAACCCCATTGCCTATTTCTTTGTGTTGCCATAGTCTTACCAGACCACAGGGCTACTCTGTAGTAGAAGAACAAAGAAAATTACAGCACAGGAACAGGCCATTCGGCCGTCTAAGCCTGCGCCGATCCAGATCCTCTATCTAAACCTGTCGCCTATTTTCCAAGGATCTGTATCCCTCTGCTCCCTGCCCATTCATGTATCTGTCTAGATACATCTTAAATGACGCTATTGTGCCCGCCTCTACCACCTCCGCTGGCAATGCGTTCCGGGCACCCACCACCTTCTGTGTAAAGAACTTTCCACGCATATCTCCCTTAAACTTTTCCCCTCTCACCTTGAAATCGTGACCCCTAGTAATTGAGTCCCCTACTCTGGGTAAAAGCTTCTTGCTATCCACCCTGTCTATACCTCTCATGATTTTGTAGACCTCAATCAGGTCCCCCCTCAACCTCCGTCTTTCTAATCTACTCAACCTCTCTTCATAGCTAGCGCCCTCCATACCAGGCAACAACCTGGTGAACCTCCTCTGCACCCTCTCCAAAGCATCCACATCCTTTTGGTAATGTGGCGATCAGAACTGTACGCAGTATTCCAAATGTGGTCGAACCAAAGTCCTACACAACTGTAACATGACCTGCCAACTCTTTTACTCAGTACCTTGTCCGATGAATGAAAGCATGCCGTATGCCTTCTGGACCACTCTATCAACCTGCGTTGCCACCTTCAGGGTACAATGGACCTGAACACCCAGATCTCTCTGTGCATCAATTTTCCCCAGGGCTTTTCCATTTACCGTATAGTTCGCTCTTGAATTGGATCTTCCAAAATGCATCACCTTGCATTTGCTGGATTGAACTCCATCTGCCATTTTTCCGCCCAACTCTCCAATCTATCTATATTCTGCTGCATTCTCCAACAGTCCCCTTCACTATCTGCTACTCCACCAATCTTAGTGTCATCTGCAAACTTGCTAATCAGACCATCTATACCTTCCTCCAGATCATTTATGTATATCACAAACTATAGTGGTCCCAACACGGATCCCTGTGGAACACCACAGTTCTCCATTTTGAGAAACTCCCTTCCACTACAACCCTCTGTCTCTTGTTGCCCAGCCAGTTCTCTATCTATCTAGCTAGTACACCCTGGACCCCATGTGACCTCACTTTCTCCATCAGCCTACCATGGGGAACCTTATCAAACGCCTTACTGAAGTCCATGTATATGACATCCACGGCCCTTCCCTCATCTATCAACTTTGTCACTTCCTCAAAGAATTCTATCAAGTTGGTAAGACATGACCTTCCCTGCACAAAACCATGCTGCCTATCACTAATAAGCCCATTTTTTTCCAAATGTAAGTAGATCCTATCCCTCAGTATCTTCTCCAGCAGCTTCCCCACCACTGACGTCAGGCTCACTGGTCTGTAATTACCTGGATTATCCTTGCTACCCTCCTTAAGCAAGGGGACAACATTAGCAATTCTCCATTCCTCCAGGACCTCACCCGTGCTCAAGGATGCTGCAAAGATATCTGTTAAGGCCGCAGCCATTTCCTCTCTCGCCCCCCTCAGTAACCTGGGATAGATCCCATCCGGACCTGGGGACTTGTCCACCCTAATGCCTTTTAGAACACCCAACACTTTCCCCCCTCCTTATGCCGACTTGACCTAGAGTAATCAAACATCTATCCCTAACCTCAACATCTGTCATGTCCCTCTCCTCAGTGAATACCGACGCAAAGTACTCATTAAGAATCTCACTCATTTTCTCTGACTTTTCGCATAACTAGAGAGAGAGGGCTGATGGTGATTTAACCTGAGGGCGAGGGGAGAGGTTGAGAAGGAGAGTCCTTCAGGGTAATGTCAACTGCTGATGGAAATTGAACCCATGCTGTTAGGATCACACTGCTTTGCAAACCACCCGTCCAGCCAGCTGAGCTGAGCCCCTCTAAGCCTCCTGCCTTTCACCTTCAAATTATGCTCCTTGTTATTGACTCTTCAGCTAAAGCAAACAGCAACTTTTTACCCTGTCCATATCCCTTATATTCTTATACATCTCTATCAGGACCAAACCCGCTCCACCCCAACCTTCTCTGCTCCAAGGAAAACAACCCAAGCATAATCAGCCTCTCTCTGTAGCTGAAATGCTCCATCCCAGGCAACATCCTGGTGAATCTCCACTGCACCCTGTCCAGTGCAATCACATCCTTCCTATAGTGTGGTGACCAGATCTGCACACAGTACTCCAGCTGTGGCGTAACCAAAGTTCTGTACAGCTCCAACATAACCTCCCTGCTCTTAGAAAGATTAAAGGAGGGATCTTCACTCACCCACTCCTCATCCTGTCATCCTCTGACTATTTCTCTTGGACACTCCCTGACTCCCTGACAATCCCTTGTTCCTCACCACTTGTGTTCCCAATCCTTGCTCCCTCACAATGTTTTGTTTGTTGGATTCAGTCAGCTTTCCGTGCTATTTTCTGCTGATGTGTGATGTAGGTTTGCAACTCTTGTGCACCAGATTGACTTGTATTCTCCTTCACCCACCCTGTGCCCTTGTTGTGACAGCTCTTGGCCCGGGTGAAGCCAGCAGCCAACCGCCTTGACTCTGTTTTTGTTCATGTCCAGGTAACAGGAGGGCCCTGGTTGACCAGAAATCCTCAGTGATCAAACACAGTCCGACGGTGAAGAGGGAGTCTCCCTCACCACAGGCCAGAGTGAACAACAGCAGGTAGGCAGGGAGGGAATGGCAGTGGGTACAGGGTGGGGGAGAGGGGACGGGGATGGCTGTGGGTATTTGGGGGAAGAGGATGGCAGTGGGGAGGGGAAGGGATGGCGGACGGTACGTGGCAGTGAACAGTGCGACCACAAGGCTTACTCTCACTACTTTGCTCATCTCTGGCACCATGTCAAAACTCCTCATGGGTGTGAGTTTGTGTGTAGGTGATGGAGCATGTCTGGGAATTTGGGTGGGGGCCAATGTGACTGTGGGGGTTGGAAGTACAGTGTATCTATTGGGGGTCTCTGTGGGTTTAGTTGTGTCTGGGGGTTATTTTCATGGGGTATATGTGCTCCAATGCCTGTGTGTGTTACCCACAAGCTGGTCTGAAGCTGCTAACAGCTGCTATGTGTGTTGCAGTGAGAACCAGCAGTTTCTGAAGGAGTTGGTGCACAGTGTGCTGGATGGTCAGGGTGTCGGCTGGTTAAATCTGAAGAAAGTTCGGCGTCTGCTGGAGAATGAACAGCTTCGAGTGTTTGTCCTGAGTAAACTGAACCGGACAATTCAGTCGGAGGAGGACGCCCGGCTCGATATAATCAAGGATGTGGTAAGGGTTCAGGCCTTCAGAACATCCAAGATCGGCAGGGCCCATGGTCACATCCTCCTCTCGAAACAGGCTGCTGCGGTCCCCTGCCATTTCATCTTTTCACCAGCTTCACCCATTTTTAACCCTGTTGGTCTGTCCACTCCCTCCCATCCCCTGCAGCATTCTTCACCTGCCAACATTCCCATCCATATCCACTCAATCTTCATCTCACTTCAGCTTTTGCCCTGTGCCCTTCCCCCCCTTGCACCTCCCCACCACCACTCCACTGTCTGCTGCTCCCACCACCGCCATCACCCCGGTCAGCCCCTTCTCCTGCACACCCCCCACACCAATCTGGATTTGCAGCGTTTCTCAGTGTGGACCCTGGGGCAGTTCGGTGCTTCCTGCACTCTGTTGTAGTTTTGTGTGGCTGTAGTGTTCTGTGTATTTGAAGGGTATATTTTGTTGTTATGCATTGTGCTGTCTGGTGAGTACTGCCCTCGTTGTCCCCTCTGCAGGAAATCAGTAAGAAGGTGTACCGTGGGATGCTGGATCTGCTGAAATGCTGTGTGTCCAGCCTGGAGCATTCATATAGCAATGCAGGGCTAGGAGGAATGGCCAGTGTCTTCACTCTGCTGGAAATTGCACACACACACTACTACAATAAAGGTAAGCCAGCACTCCCCTAGCTTTAAACAGTCAGTATAGATGGAGAAACCTCATTCAGCATGGGAAGGGATTAGTCACTGTTCAGAATTTAGCACCTGGGATGGACAAACAAAGCAAGGGAACACAGTACAACGGGAAGATATTGAGGTGGGTGAAGGTGGGGAGAGAATGTGGAATTCCTCTCCAAAATCGCTGAAGGTAATGGGAAATGTGGAGAAGATGGTAAAGAAGGTATATGGGATGCAATGCAAAGGCAGGAATGCGTTGCTGGAACGATACAAGGCTGTGCTCAAACCAGAGCTGGAGTTGTGGGTCCAGTCCTGGTCACCACATTCCATGGAGGAGATAATTGGTCTGAGGACAGTACAGAGGAGATTTACAAGAATGTTGCCAGGGCTTGGAAATTGCAGCTTAGAGCAAAGATTGGAGCAGTTTCAGTTTGAACACAGGGCTGACTTAATCGAGATGTACAAAATAGTGAGGGGTTTGGACAGAGTGGGCAGGGGGACCCTATTTCCCCTAGAGGAGAGGTCAGTGACCAGGGGGCATAGGTTTAAAGTGGTCTGTTAAAGAAGGGACACAGAGAAATGCTTTTTCACTCAGAACTGTTTGTCTGGAATTCACCACCCAGTTTGATGATTGAGGGGAAGTCTCCAATACTTTTTTAAAAAGGATCCTGCATCTGCACTTGAAGCAATGTAGGCTGCAGTTAACCTCAATTTACTCCATAATTCAGGACCTGATACTCAGTCCTGATAAACAGGACCCAATAGAGGTCGCTTTGTTCCAATAAACATGATCTGATAAAGGCTGCTCAGAATTATGATGGTGTTTTGTTTGATATGTAGTGATTTTTAACTGTTCTTGTTGAGTTTCTGATCTTTGTCCATGTGTCTCCACTCATCCTTTGCCCCTCTCCCTTCCCCAACTCCCTCTCCCCTTGCCTCCCCCCATTCCTTTCTCGCCCGTGCCTCCCCCACTTCCATCTTTCTCCGTACACCAGAACCCGACAAGAAGAAACGCAGTCCAACAGAGGGTGGCACAGTGCCAGCTAGTAAGGAGCCCATGCCCTCGAAAGGGGAGATGAAACCCCCCAGTGCACCGATGACCCACCTGCAACTCCCACCAAAAGCTCCCAACAGCAAGGCGCCGGGCGAGTATGACACCCGGAGTCTGAATGAAGAGAATTTTGTTGCTTCAATCGGTGTGTATTGCTTGTGGGTGCAGGGCATATCACAACGCGAGATTGAAGCAATTGGCTCAAGTCCCACTGTCATTCTGTGATTAGAGCCACATCAATAAGCTGTAGAGTCTGAAGAGGCCCATATACACACTGCCAGGCCTGTGTTAACACCAGGTACAACGTAGCCTATACAAACAGTGCCAGGCCTGTGTTAACACCAGGTACAGCTAACCTATACAAATGGTGCCAGGCCTGTGTTAACAACAGGTACGGCGTAGCCTATACAAATGGTGCCAGGCCTGTGTTAACAACAGGTACGGTGTAGCCTATGCAAACAGTATCAGGCCAGTGTTAACACCAGGTACAGTGTAGCCTATACAAACAGTGCCAGGCCTGTGTTAACACCAGGTACAGCGTAGCCTATACAAACAGTGCCAGGCCTGTGTTAACACCAGTTGAGGCCTTCTCCCATCAGGTCTGTACTGCTAACCTATGTTATCACCTGCACTAGTCTCACTTTCCAGCAGTAGGCACACATAGCCGTGAATGTTACAACATTTCAAATGCTTATCCAAGTACTTTTTAAAGGGTGTGAGGTTTCCTGCCTCAAACGCCCACCCCACCCCCCGGGAGTCCATTCCAGACCCCCATCACCCACAGGATGAAAAACCGCTCATCCTTAAATCCCCTGTAAACCTGCTGCCTTCATTTTAAAATTATGTTCCCTTGTTATTGACCTTTAACTGAGAGGAACAGCTGCTTTCTGTAGCCCCTGTCCATGCCCCTTGTAATCTTTTACACTTCAAACAGGTCCCCCCCTCAACCTGCTCTGCTCCAAAGAAAACACCCCAAGCTTATCCAGCCTCTCTCCATCACAAAAATGTTCTGTCCCAGGCAGCATCCTGGTGAATCTCCTCTACACCCTTCCAGTACAATCACATCCTTCCTATAACGTGGTAACCAGAACGTCACTCAGTGCTCCAAATGTGGCCTAACCAAAGTCCTGTACAGCTCCAACATAACCTCCTTGATCTTAAAATCTATGCCTCAACTGATAAAGGCAAGTGTTCTATATACCTACTTAACTACCCTATTACTCTGTCCTGCCACTGTGAGGGGTCTGTGGACAACCGCCCCAAGATCCCTCTGTTTTTCTGAGCTTCTTAGTGTCTTGCCATTTACTGAGTACTCGCTTGTCTTGTTCCTTCTTCCACAGTGCATCACCGTACCTTAAGTTACATCTGCTACCAATCTGCCCATCTGACCACCCTGTTTATATCTTTTTGTATCTTAACACCTTCCTCCTCATTGTCAGCCACTCGGTCAATCTTTGTGTCATCCGCAGACTTACTTACCATCCCTCCCACATTCGCATCAACATTATTTATGAATATCACAAACATTAAGGGACCCAGCACTGATCCCTGTGGTATGCTGCTGCACACCAGGCTCCAGTCACACAAACAGACTTCTGCCACCACCCTCTATCTCCTGTCACTGAGCTAATCTTTGATCCACTTTGCCAAATTACCGTGGGTCACGTGAGCTTTTACCTTTGTGATCAGTTTCCCACATGGGATCTTGTCAAAGGCGTTAATGAAATCCTTATAAACCACATCAACTGCTCTACCCTCATCCAAACACTTGGTCACCTCCTCAAACATTCACCAGATTTATTGGGCATGACCTCCCTCTTGTGAAGCCATGCTAACTATCCCTGATCAAATCTTACCCCTCTGAGTAGAGATTAATTTTCCCCTTCACTACTTTCTCCACAGGCCTGTATTAATATCAGGCTGCTGTGAGACCTGTAGAGACACTCCCAGGCCTGTGTTCAGACTGTCATGAGGCTTGTACAAACACTGTCAAGCCCCCATGCAGACTGTAGTAAAGCCTGAGAGGGTATATTCCTGATGCCATGTTGTTGTCAGTTGCCAAGACGATACGGTATGTGAACATAGGAGTGCACTGTGCAGGGTAGCCTCTATGGGTTTGAGATCGCAGTGTAGGTGGCGAGACCCTCCGACATGGTGAGTGGTTATTCAAGTTCTGTAGTTGATCAGGTTCCCGAGATGAGGGTAGTTATCAGCTACTAAAGGAAGTGTATTGCCAAATAGTGTTATCAAATTATCAGGTGTAAGCTTAAAATAGTGAACTTTCACCTTGTGCATACTTTGGCCAAAGCTGTAATTTGCATTCTTTTGATGCCTTCCAGGGGTCCATTGCTGTTCCATTTGTCCCCCCTCAGCTGACCCTGCGTGCAATGATCAGACCCCTAAAGTCTGTGTCGTTGCTTGTACTGTGCTCACTGTATCTCAAGAAGTTGACAATATATTGCCCAGTGGCTCAAGGTTTTGAGTGCAGCTCCTTCCAGAATTCCTTGATTGCCTGCTCCCTTTGCTTGGCTGAGAGATTTCTGCCAAAAGGGTTACTGACTGCACGTCTCCCTGCTGCTCAGAAGCATGACCAGTAAAGAAATGTGTCTTTGTAATTTGGCTATGGGAAGCTGATTGACTGGCGCAGTGTCAGTGATAGTCTAGCTGTTGATTGATGGAACAGCCATTTGCTTTCAGGCCTCATTCCCTTCCCCTTTCCAAGCACTGCCATTCCTTTATCAAACAATCAAATAGCAAGAAAGGACGTTCAGCTCCTTATTTGTCTTTGGAAGTGCAATCATTCTTAGTCCTACATCACTTTTTAAAATTTAAGAAGGAGAACCATTTGGACCATCAGACCTGCTCTTTTATTCAACAAAATTGTGACTTACTGTCCACCCAATTCCACATGCTTGCATTATCCTCATAGTCATTACTACCCAAAGCGTGCTGTCATTCTTTTTTCTTGTGTAGACTTGTTTTTCCCACTTGCCTGACTGCCTTGGCTAGCTATTTCCAAAGGTTCCCCACCCTCTTGAGTGAAGGAATTTCTTCCCAACACAGCCCTAAATGGTTGGTACCTTACCCTGAGATTGTGCTCCTTTGTTTTAATTCCTCAGCCAGTAGAGAATGAGCTCTGTCTTACTCTTTCTTGCTCTCATGCGCGCTGTCTCTCTCATGCGCGCTGCCTCTCTCATGCGCGCTGCCTCTCTCATGCGCGCTGCCTCTCTCTTGCGCTCGCACTCTCGCGCCCGCGCTCTCTCTCTCGTACGCTCTTTCGATCTCTCTCCAATGAAGTCTACCTCTCTCTGTGCCTCTCCCCTCACCCCGGTCCTCTTCCCGCCCCTCTGCCTGTCCCCATTCCCCTCCCTCTCTCCCCCCTCCCTTTCTCCCTTTCCCTGTCTCCCCCCTCCCTTTCCCCGTCTCCCCCCTCCATCTCTCCCCCCTCCGTCTCCCTCTCTCTCTACTGTGTCAAGCATCTAAACAATTATGTTTCAATGGGATCATCTCTCATTCTTCTGAACCGCAAAGTATATCAGTGTAGCCTACTCAATCTCTTAAGACTTAACCCAGGAGCAAGTCTAGTGAATCGTTTTTGCACACTCTCAGGTCATGTATGTCCTTCCTTGGGATAAGAAGCCCAACACTGTGCACAAAGTTAACCTTATTAAAGCCATAAGATCAGGAAAATAGGAACAGAATAAGCCATTTGGCCCACTGAGCCAATTCCACCACTCAATATGATCATGGCCAATTATTCAACTCACTACCCTGTTTTTCAGCTTTCTCCCCATTTCCTTTGATCCCTTTTGCCCCAAGAAGTATATCTGACCGCCTCTAGAAAACCTTTTCCTTTTTGGCCTCAACCACTTTCAGTAGCAGAGAATTCCATGGGGGCACCACTCTCTGGCTGAAGAAATTACTCCTCATCTCAGTCCTGAATGGCCTACCCCATTTCGTTAAACTGTGACCGTTGGTTCTGAACTCCCCAATCATTGGGAACATACTTCCTGCATTTACCCTATCTAATCCCGTTAGAATTTTTTTAGTTTTCTATGAGATCCTCCCGTCATTCTTCTAAACTCAAGTGAATACGATCCTAACTTCATCCTACATCAGTCCTACTGCCTCAAGAACCAGTCTGGTAAACCTTTGTTGCCATCTGTCCACGGCCAGAATATCCTTCCTATGGAGCCCTTTACGATTGGTATAAAACTTGTGCAGTCTATAAGCCTGAGGCTTCTGACCAATCCGTCTGTCACAAAAGATAGTGTTCTCCTCTTTACAATATTTTTATAGCATCAATCTCTACCACTTCTTTTCTGTTTGAACCATTTGAGATCCCAACAACTGAGTGAAAGATTCATTTTCTTCTCAGTCCTAAAAGGCTGACCCCTTACCCGGATTGTTTTCCCCAATGATTTTGCATCTATGCCCTCGAATTATTAACCATCTCACCAGAGGGAATTGTTTTTCTCTGTGAGCTCTGTCAAAACTCATTGCGAACCTTGATTCGGTCACCTCTTCCCCTTCTCTGTTCCACTGGAGAACAGCATTCCTGCTTCCAACTTCTCCCTCGTCTCAAGTAAAGTGCTGGGGAACGTCTTCTAAATCTGAATTGTAGGTGGAAATTGTCCACAATGTTTCAGCTGAGGCCTAACCAGGGTTTTATAACATTCCAGCACACTCCCTTTGGTATTGTATTCTGTTTCTCTGTTCAGAAACCAGTGTAACTTGTCTATGTTTTAACACTGTTTGCATTCTCCCTGTCTTCATATTATGCCCACATCCTTCTCGTTCTACCTAATGACCACATTCCACATCTGAACTGCTGTCTCCTCTTTGTCCCAGCACTTGAGTTTGTGTTGTCAAGAGAGATAATGAAATGCAAAAAGGGTTTGTATGCTTCATGCATCCTGAAAGTCTCAGTTTATGGCAAATGGACAATGAGAATAGGGATGTTTTACAGCAGCTGGACCGGGCCTTGATGAGACCACTTCTGGAGCATGCTTGCAGTTTTGGCCTCCTCGTTTGAAAGAAGAACTGATTAATTTAGGAGCAGTTCCAAGAACGTTCACTTGATTCATAGGAGGGATGATAGACTTATCTCAAGATGAAAAATTGAGCAGGTTAGGCCAAGAATGA